ACTGAAAAAAAGAGTTTTTTTGATGCACTTGTGGGTAGTGGGGATTCCAATGGAATGATGGAATTAGAAGGTTGGGTTGAAAGATTAAACAAAAGTGAAGGAAATATATGAAGATGTCGACTTTTTCCTTCTGCATCAGACGCATACTTTGGGTCCATTAGCTTTTCATAAAACTATGTTTATGATTCCAAAAAATGAGACAAGATCAAAAGACATTGATCCTTTACCAAACATTTTCAGTACATATCGAGGAAATAAATTATTAAATAAAAATGATGCTAATGATGGTTACTGCTTTTCACTGGATTTGGATCATAGAAGGCATTTAGATTTTTTGGTAACAATAGAAAGCATTTAGATAAGGGTGCACTGTTTTATAGGCTAAATTATTTTAGATCGTAAAACAATTTTTTTGTTTAGATAATTTTTTCCATTTTTTCTCTGGCCAATATGATTGTTGAAACCATTTTGGGAGAGGAGTTTTAAAAGGCTTTTCGGTACAAGATGCAGAAGATGCGCTTTAAAGGGCTGATAAATGGGCTTAAGTAATCGAAACTCCACCCATTGGGCTAGGACTGCTCACTTGTTCTTTGGACCACAGGTAATGCATATTGGAGGGCTTAAATCTGGAGCCAGAGTTGTTTTAGCCATTTTTATTTCTTTAAATGCGAGCCGCAAAACAAATGTAGGCCTTTTTTTTGTTTCTTTTTTTTTTTTTTTTCCTGTTAATCTTGAGTTGTTGCATAGTAAAATGTAATATTCTCTCACCCACTAATCCTTTTCATTTTTATATCAGGTAATTCAAAATTCAAATCTCTTTTTTTAATTTGAAAAAAAATTATTATTAAATTTTCTTAAGTTATTAACCAAATATTGGTCTTCTTAATTCTTTCATTCCTTTACCAACTTACTTGCACCCGCACAACTAAAATCATAAATCTCTTAATTACCAAAAGAAGATGATCATGGTTCTTCCATTCCTTTGCCATCTTACCCTCCCACAACTTTTACTTAGGTATCATCATAAGTTTTTTTCTTTTTCTTTTTTTTAATTTAATAAAGATAATGATGAGTTATAAAAGAGATAACCATTTCTTATCTTGCCATATCCCTTGCAATTTCACTCAAAATTTGAGTTATAAAGGAGTAATAAAAACTTAAAATTTTAATTATTGGGACATTATCCTAAGGCACTAAGTCATTGTTATAACATATTAATTTCCCACCTCCTCCTTATTCACATGTTGCATGGTAAATGTCTCATTATATCAAACAAGTAGATGTATATTAAACCAAAAAACAAGCCAAGTGAAAATAGTTAATGGTAATATTTAAACTACTTTAAATATCCCATTCTATTTAACATTAAAAGCATTCTTATTAACAATTTTTCCTATAAAATTTTATACCGCTAAATATACAAAGGTACATTGAAATGGAACTTTCAGCAATAGCTTCTCTAGTAAGGTGCAATTAGGGCTCTAAAAGAGTTGAGCCAAGCCGAGTATGGAATGCTCAAGTTTGAGGTCGACTCCACAAAGTTGAGCAGAACTTGAAAAAAAGAAAAAAGAAAGAGAGAAACAGTTAAGCTTGAACTTGACATAACTATCGAACAAGCTGAACTTGAATCTAATAGTTCATAAGCTGCAAACTTACTTATAATTTAAAATTATCTAAATAGTAAAATAATATAATTTACTAATTTAAAATTTTAACTAAATTACTCACGAGTAATTTACGAGCCCAACAAACAAGCCCGAACTCAAACTTGAACAAAGCGGTAGCTTTTTTATGAGATAAGATTGAACTCAAAACATTAATCATTCTTAGACTTCGCCTGAAATGATGAAAAAATTAGTTCTTAGTCTAACTCAAAATTTGTTTTTTCTTCAGCAACATTATGCTATATTGAGCAATCAAATCAACAACTAATGACATTTTTTATTACTTAAACTAACTATTAATACGTGGGTCATTCCTAAACCGCAATTTTTAATATTATTTAAATTGAAAATTATACTAGTGCTTTATAATACAACGACAGTTAGACCTAAATACATGGTCCTAATTTCCCGTCGCCATGAGACGGCAACCTTCCTCGATTTGGAAACTACCACGTGTCACAATTTTACTCCTTTAGTTCCACTATATTAAAAAAGGTATATTCTCTGCTACCCAAACAAATTACGTAGAGAGTATATTCCACTAATCTCGACCACACCGTAC